TTTAAGGATCCCTGTCCCACTGCACTGTTGGTTTTCCTATTCACAGTAACCTCCCCTCAACTTCCGTTTATATATAACTGTAACACGCTTAGGCCTATACACTTCCGTTGACCAGGGAGATCAGGGTTCGAATCCCGGTATAGTCCCTCTTATTGGTTTTTACACTAGGAACTCTGTTGTTGATTATATTTTGTTTATTTCATCTTTATTATTTCTCATAAAAGTTCCCCAAGGTATGTTTTTCTTTTCAGAAATGATTTATCAAATCTGCAGTCATGTCGGATAACACAGTTTCTAGTACTTAGTTTCAGTTTTTGGTCATGGTACGGAGATCCTGATGCTGTACAGGAGTAATGCTGTTTCAATGTGTGCTGTCATGTTGTTGTTCTATAAAATTTGTACAGCTTACAATTACTAATAATTAACCTTGCTTGTAACAAGCATTTTATTGGCTTAAAAATTTATGTTATCAGCCCAAAACGTAAAAATATGACGTCGCCGTTTGTAACGTCGCTTTTGATTGGCTGATACAGCAGCGTAATAATTTCTTAGAGAAAAAGAGTCCATCATTAAAAGTGGATTTCCACAGGGATTGTGTAAAGTTGGTTAGATTAAAAGGATTAACTTGAATATATTTTTCATGTTATGGAGCTATAAAACAAAAAACTGAAGTGTACTCTCATCATAAACCGTTCCGCGGTTTATTTAGAGTACACTCCGTTTTTTTGTGTTATAGCTCCATAACATGAAAAATCTATATTCAAATTAATCCTTAAATAACCACGAAACCACAAAAAGATAATTTGATGTTTCGGACAGAAATAAAACATAATAACAGTATTTAAAAATCAATTTGAGATGCGTTCACATGCCCAATATAATTCAATGATAATCAATCATTGGTTTAATCTCCGACCAAAGCGAAGTTTTTGGTTTACAGACATTGATCGATTTTTTGGGAGGCAAAGTCATCTCAAGTTATGCTATGCATTTATTTGCAATGTTACTTATTGACCAGCAAAGAGCTTTATTTGTTCTTGGAGTCATGAGCCTTTAGTATGTTCTGTTGGAAAAAAGCTAGTGTGTAGCCAATGTCAAGCCAACTTAATATGTATGCAAGGAGCAATGTCGATTATCAAATTATATATGATATCTTACATAATCATATAAGATATTTCATATACCATAGAGATATCTTATATATATGAGATATCTAATATAATTTATAAGAAATCTTATATGGCATATCAGATATCTTATATAATAAACAAGATATCTCATATACTATATGAGATATCTTATATCATATATAATATATCTTATATAATTTATAAGATGTATCATATGCTATTGATATATCTTATATTTTGTTTTGATCGACATTGCTCCTTAACTAAATGTTAAGCTGGCTTGCCATAGTAGCCAATGCTATATAAAGTGATGATACTTTGATTTCAAAGTAAAGTATTCCATTATCTATCATGTTATAAAACTAAATCATTTATGTATAGGATAATTGGTGACCAGGAATTTCATTATCTTCAATGTTATAAGAATAACTGTGAATAAGATGAATCGTGACCAGGGATTTCATTATCAACCGCAATTAAAGGATCCCCGCACCACTACCAAAACATGTTAACAGGTGTTGGTAACTGTATTTTCTAATTTTATAAGTCATTCCTGAATAGAGAACGATATATCATTGGCAGATTTTTACTGGAAATGATAAAGATGGAAAAATCAAAATAAAATCAACAGTGTGCTGAGTGTACAAAAGTTGGGCTAGATCGGGATTCGAACTCTGCACTTGTAGATTGTAATACTAACACGTCTTACCAATTGAGCTTTCCGGTCAACGGATGTGAGCTGGCCCTTTTTTTACACTTACATCCAAACGGAAGTGAAGGGGAGGCTACTGTATATAGGAACAACTACAATACGGTGGATCAAGGGATTCTTAAGATGATATTAGATATAAGATATGCTCAATGTGAATTAGATCGGTGGTGAGCAACATACTCTCTTGAATAATTTGAGTGGGGAAAATATGCCGGTCGCCTTATATGTCTACCTATCCGGAGCACATCTTCTCGCATCCTTGTTTTGTGTGGATTTTGTTAAGTTGTCTGCGTGGTTTCTGTAGGCCTTTCTCGTTATTGTTGAGATCCAATTAATTGTTTACGATGGTATGTCTATGCATACACATTTTCAATTTCTGTTGAGGTAAACATAGATATTTCGCAATACATGTAAAGTCTAGTTAAAGATTTTTATATTTATATAAGTGTAATATTTCTTATTTCCATAACGAGGCTTAAAAAAGGATCAGGTTTATTACATATTACATATGATTGAGTTTTGCTCGCACTCAATATAAGAGCTGCAAATTTTGTTTGGTTTTCATACGCAGTACTTAGATTCCAGGCACATTATCTGTCTTTATTATATAGTATCGGCGCACATTTCTGAAGTGCAGGCGACAATTTTTATTTCAACGCATAATCAAAAGTGAGTACAGTTGCTGTCTTTCGCAACGTTGGGAAAGACCGAGTTTAAGAGAAAAACAATATTCCATCAAATCGATGGAACTACTCGCGAATTAAACACTCTCCCATGCTGTGTGAACGATGCAACGCTCGTAAAACAACATTTTGTGTAGTACATGTTCCCCTGTAGTGCCGCCGATCACACAACGCAGGTAATTAACCGTCAAACAGAGGCGGATGGTTATTTATGCAAATCAGCGGCGCACAAATAGCTGCCAAAATGTGTAGTAGGATGTTAAAAGAAGCTGTTTTGCTTATCTGTGTAACATGCTGTGTGCTCTGAGTAGTACAACACGTGTTAGTAACGAAACGCCTGTTCATCTGAAGAGAAGCCTGGATGAAGAGTCAGTAGTCTTGATTACCGTAAAGTCTCTGTTTTATGCTATGGACAACAATATTAAGGAACCTTGTACCACTAACAAAAGGTGTAAATATGCATTGTAAACCTTTCCTCCTGCATGGCTATAGGTAGCTTCGATAAATCATTTCTGAAAAGAAAACCCTAAACGTGTTCTGCCTATTTAAATGCAACACGGCAAGTCCAAGATTCGAACCCAGGACCTCGTATCATTACACCATTGTGCTAATCAACTGAGCTAATTTGTCAAGGAAATCACCCTAATGGTACAGGTATCCTTAAGGACTTATACTATCTTTTAATGACAAATCTAACATATTGTTTTATAAATGCTGTACTATAGATAGTGATGTCTATGTCAACCCAGATAGGATCGGAATTTGGAATTCGGAATTTTTCAATGAAATGAGAACAGTTAATCCAATGCTCTTAACTGAATGCCTACTGTGTATGCGGACATTTTCGCGTGTGCAAATGCTTGCGTTTGTCGGTTTTTTGAGGTAAAACTAAAAGAAAAAAAAACAACTAGAAAACGAAATAAGAAAACAAATGTTTATTGTTTTTGAGAATAAAAAAAATATTTCAGTTGTTTAGAAAATAGAGTTTAAATGCCATTTGTTAATGTACAGATACGACTTACAAACAGGAGTTTATGTCATAACATTTTAGGGGCGGATAAAGCAAGTCCAAAAACTCTGTGGGTTAGGGGTTGGTTCATAATATCACTTCATCTAATAAATAAGGTATAACGGAAAATTATAGATCTGTCTCGCCTTTTGATTCGGAAGTCGTAGGTAAATAACAATCAATATTGGAGTAGGTACTACTCTCAATCGTTTATTCAACTGTTCCAGTATAAAACCTACAAACAAAGGTCGCGAAATTAAATACACTCAGATTTAATAACTTTACAATATTCATACACAAATATGTTAAGTTATACCCCTGAATCGTTAATGGTATATTTTATGACTCATAATAGATTTAATATTAATATGCATGAATAATCCATTTGGATCATATCACAGTAAAGAGAACAGTACGATACTATACGATAACATGAATTAAATTGCTGCAATATCTGTTATTTTTAATTCCTGCATTTCAAGCCTGTAACACAAGCCTCTCTGTATAAAGTAAAATAATACCGGTACGCTTATCATTAAACTCTTGTATCGCTCTATTTCCAACCAGATTAGAAATATCGCATCACGAATCCCTTGAAGTAAGGACCTACAAACTGAAATGCTTATCTTATTAAATTATTAAATTTTTGCTACAACGATATGAGGCCTAGGGTGAACTACATACCAAAGCACGGTTTGAGAAAATGACAAATTTACTTGTGTATCGGATGAAAGTGAAACTTTGAGGGTATGAAATTTAGATTTAATCTAGGCTGTGATACTAGCAATGCTGTGCTATATATATATATATGTTTTATCATTCAAAAATATTGTTTTTTTATTTTACAAAAAAATATTATACAACCTGAGGAAAAAATATTGACCTGGGATTGGGTCCTCAGTTAATTCATTTTTTTAGATAACATCCATATATCGCCGTCAGCTTAAGGTTTTAATTGTAAAGAATGTAAAAGAAATGTGGCAGATGATTTGATTTATGTTTTGATGAAGCGTACGTATCAAGTTTCTACGGTAAACACATAGATCTAAATATATTCAAATGTTTGGGTAGTGGCTATAAAGGTTACTTTTTCGTCCAATATCTGTCAGTTTGTAATATGGTAATAGTACATATATTGTGTCTATATTTATATGTGTTTAAAGTATGCACGTATTTGATGATGGGTGCTTATCTACTATCTACGGTAAAACAATTAAGACCTTTTAGTCCGAACTATCTTTCAAATCTTCATCTGCTGAGAGTCAGAAGTCCAACACAGCTGGATAACTACTTTTTTTCCCCGAAGCTCCAACATAGTTACAACTTCCTCTGCCTGTATTTTCCTAATATATATATATGCATGCATGCAATGTGGTTGTGAGAGGTCAAAGGTCAAAGGAAACATTAGGTGTGTGTTTCTGATGTTTGTGTTTACGCTTTAGTCAGGATTCGTTACGTATATATCTTATGTGTGTACGGTGTATAGCGATATATGTGTGTGGAGATGTTACATCATAGTTTATGTACATATATATACTGAAGATACATCTATTGTGATACATTCTTCTAAGTAAGTATGCAAAACATGGTTTTTTTTCTGATATAATATATAATAATTTTATAATGCACTTTTTTCATTCTATATATGCTGAAATCAACTATTTTCAGCGCTCGTAGTTGTCTATGTATTATATTGCACTTGGCATGATAAGCATGTTATGATAAGGTCTTCCAGGCATTTTATTTTCCTGTGATAAAATATGTATATTTACTAAATTGTTATGCATATATAATGCATTGTTTTTATCCAGATTATGCTGAAATGCACTATTTTAGGCGCCCGTAATTGACCATGTGTTATAATGTACATGATAAGCATATTATGACACAGGCTTAAAGGTAAGCATGCAAATTAGTTTTTCTGTGTTTTAAGTTTTACATTTATTACATTATGCAATTTTATTCTGTATATATACTGCAATCAACGATTTGCAGCTCTGGTAGTTGAGCTAAATATTGCACTCGTCCATGTAAGTATGCTAACTATCCTTTTTTGTTGTATAAATATGAATATATATTTATTATAACGCACCATTTTACTTTATTAGTATATTCTACAATCAATTCTTTCTAGCGTTGGTAGGTGACCATGAGTTATAATGCACTCTGCATGATAAGCAAATTGTGAAACATTATTCCAGGGATGCTTACTATTTTGTTTTTTTCTGTGATAATATTATCAAAGAAAAAAAGGATACTTAACAGTTTACTTTATTAGTATATATTGAAATCAACTTTTTCTGGCGATGGTAGTTGACCATGTGTTATATATTGCGACCTGCATGATACGCAGTTTGTGCCACAGACTTCAGGTATATATGTCAGCTATGTGTTCTTTCTGCGATAGAATGTACACATCTATTACATAATTCACTGTTTTTATTCTATACTGAAGTTAACTATTTACATATAGTTAACCAAACGTTATATTGCACTCTACATTCGGCTTCGTGAAATATAACATAATGTCAACTACAAGTCGATGCGAAGGCATGCAATGTATAATATCTACCTTCCTCGATACTCCAGGGGTTACCCTCACTTTCGCTCCCTGCACCCCTAAAATATGTCATAGCAAAATTGAAGGTTCAGTGTACACCACCTTGTTGATAAGACAAGAAGACTAGATCGATTGTTAATGATCATCAAAAGAATATGTCGGTCGCGTAACGGTAAAATTGACTGGCTCTGAAGTCGGGTGTTGCTCCTCTGTAATCTTCAAAGGACTGGTATCAGCCTAGCAATTGGTCGGGTTTAGTTTTTTTTACCCGATATCAATGAAATAGCTAGCTGCGTGTCTTCAATTTTGCTATGACATATTCCAGGGGTATAGAGAGCGAAAACGAGAGTAACCCATGGAGTATCGAGGTTAACTATCTACATGTTCACACGTAATTTTTATTCCATTAATATAACCAAGTTAATGAAAAACGAAGTATAATGCATATACAAAATTTTGTAGCTGATGAAATCTTCCCTTATTTTTAAATTTATGAGGTTTTTGAAAAAACATTTTTGTATCATAATCATTTTTTAATTACGTATCATGTTATGATGGGCAGAGTTGTTTACACACAAGCTATTGTTATCATTAATACCTTAAGAATTCCGAATTTGTATCGTTTACCTTTATGCAAAAGTGTTAACAATACATGTATGTATCCACTGTAACAAGCAACGTTATACATTACTACACCTGCTTTCAATTTGATATTACAGCATTACGTTTATTATATGTGTATGTATCGAGGGAGGGCTTTCTTTATTAATAAATAATGCTATTCTGCTGTTTTATTTACAGTTGGTATTAGACGTTTATTCCTCATTGAAGTCTAAAGTAGCTGAACCATATTGTAACAATGCAAAATATCATATACACACCAGTCTTTAAACATTTCATACACAATAGGTCGGAGGTAACTGTGGCACTATCATACATGTAAGCTCACTACACTGTATGCACGGACCGGATCAGAATATCAAAATATCAGTGATTGGGAACCATTTAAAGAAAAGCTGAATAATTGTCTATTGATTCCAGTACTTCACACCCACCTCCTTCCACTTCCTTACCCTAGCCTGTCAATTGCCTATAAAAATCATATTCTTATTTTTCTCATTTGGCCCTCCCACACAAAACATGGATGCTTTCCTTCGTGGTTTGAAGCCATTTAGATCGTTTCATGGTACAAACTTTCGTGGATAGCCTATATTAACAAACAGTAGACACGTATGTCATTTTATTTCGTTGTATTTATTTTCGTGGTTCAATAGCAACCACGAAAACTGCGAATGTTTATACACAACGAACATTGCATGTTGTACGGTAGATACGGTAAGTCCCGGACCAAATTATATTAATCAGGAAGTGATTATTTCAAGTATGCAAGACCTGTGCAGGTTCAGGTTTAGATCAATTTATTTTATTACTTAAAATGAGAAAATTGTGTGCCCCACCCCTGCATAATCGCAGTTTTACAGTATATTTTACTTAGGGGCATTAAAAAGAACAAAATTGATCTGTTTTCCCCTCTTACCTACTCTTTTATTTTGGTGATGCTGCCCAAGTACACATCTTTTAATGATTTTGGCTGTTACGAGGACGTTATACCTCATGCAGAGAAACAAACAAATCAGGTATATTATTATGCATCGTCGGAAAACCACAGTCGATTGCGCTTCATTACCGAGGAGTAGCGCTATCAGCCGTGGCTATCCAACGAAGGCTATCATTTAAATGGAATGTCATTCACTTATGAATTATCGCAAATGATGTTAAGAAGTCCATATGATAAAATTAATCTCACAAATAATAGTCATATTTCAGTAACATTGTTGTGATATCAATGTCACTCCAGTGGCCATTGAGATGAGGGCGGATAGATCAGAGACAACCGACATCCTGTATCCTACTAGGACAATTTACTGGGAGTTCGTTGTACTTGAATCATCGCAATTTGTTAGCTTTGAAACGAGGTTAGGTTATGACAAAAAGCACGCCCGTTAGCTTTATGTAGCTATAACAACATCAGGGTTCAAACGATACTTATTCATTGGGTTCTAAACAAGTCTTCTTCTGAACCGTAATTACTGGTAATCACAAACCAGCTACAGTCGTTTATTGAGTGTGTAGTCTAAGTCTGGTTACTTAAGTTCATAGATTAGTTATTGATATGTTTCATTTCTTCCATGTGTCCATGTTAGTCCCTTTTTGTAGCCATTTTGTAAGTGTCTGAGTGCTGTCGTAAATATAGCACTACATTGTTAATGTTTACTGTTTAAACAATGCAAAGGTTTGTACCTGGTATCATACCAACATCACAACGCAAAGCTTACAGAGTATTTCGCATGGTAACTAAATCAAAAATTATATGTTAAGTCTAGCGGATTGATTAAAAGTATTTATTTTCAGACTTGACAGGTGGTTTTAGTTTTTTAGAATTTCTGCCGCGAAAATAAGTGTTTCATTCAAAATAATTGTAAAAATTTGTGAACGTAGGACGTCCACCTCTTCAGCTCCTGTGAAGAGCAGTGTAGTTTACATTTTGGCATACTGTTTATCTATTACCAAAAGGTTATAGAAGCTATCACTTGTTTGTATCTTACGTTCATCGATCTATAAATCGATATTTGCGTGTGGATATTTTCGCGATATTCAACTCCACACGGAAAAATGCGAGAATTTCCACACCGCGAAAATGTCCACTTCTGCAGTAATATCTACGCCCGAACAAATTAATACGTACACTATACGCGAAAATTTCCACTTCTGCAGTAATACCTACGCCCGTACAAATTAATACGTACACTATATATATACATTCTTGTCTCTGTGATTGATCGATGAGTGGTGTACTTTCGTTTTTGTACCGTCTACACCATCACACAGCATCTCTAGTTATATACACTTTGATCACGTGTCTGAGTGGTGCATATGACGGTTATGAAAATATCATATTGCCACTTGTTGAACAATCGGCAGCTGGTGTGTGCTACAATAATTGGCCCCAATCTCCAACACAAGCAGTCTGTGGCGTCATTGTTTACAGGGTTCATATGCTACAAGCATTGTTATCTTGAAATTGACATGATATATTGGAAAACAAACCTGTCAGTATCTTTTGAACGAATGTTGATGAAATTCAGTCGTTTTTATATTATGTGGTATAATTTTTTTTTTTTTTTTTATTCATTTCTAATTGATTATGTTTAAATAATGTTACTATTGTGTTTTATGGAATTTTGTCTATCAACCACTGACGATATGCACACGGTAGGAGTATGACGAAATAACCACGTTTAGACTAATCTGATTGCAATGATGATGAAGAAAGGAACCATTTCCTGCCATCTATATGCGATAATCACATACGCGCATGTGTATTTATTATCAATTTCAACATTAGTCGCCCATATATACTTTGCTATATCAATGAGACTGTTAAGCTAACCATTCTTTCAATACATACCCCCTGGCTTGCTCCACCAATAATCATTTCCCTAGTAGTGGGATACGCATACGTAAGTATAACTATGTGGGTTGAGGAAAGTGCTGTTTAACAGTACAGGAATCATAAAATGTAAGTACTATATTTTACAGTATTAGTCTATATATTACGTATGCTGTTTTCACAAATACTTACCTAGTCATTGCTGTATAGCTATATTTGTTTTACATGATACAACTAGAAATCATACATAGATGCTAATATACGGTCTGTTTGAATAATAATTTGAACGACAACATTTTTTGTTTGTATTTTGAAAGAATATGACAAAGGATTATTGATATTTTAAATATTTCAATCGTCAAGAAATAAGGAGGGATAAACAAAATACTATATATCCAGGGAAACTTGTGTTAAGTGTTAATTTCGTCCTTCACATTTCATTACTAAGCATGTTATGTTGTTTACTTGTATTCGTTGTAATGATAAATTCGACTTCATTAATTTACGAAATACGGAAATATAGAAATTTAAACTATAGCGAATTTTTTTTCCGGTTTGCAATGGATTATTTATTGTATTTTAATTCAAGTTCTAGAGGATATAACAAAATCCAAATTCAAATTGACATTATGAATTCATCGGAGTATTTGGCAAATATCTTATATTCGTTCCTCAATAATATTTGTATGAACACACAAAGTAGATTGGCAAGAAGTGGTTGTTACCTTACAAGTCTCTCGGATACAAATACTAAACACAAGTTGTTGTGTTAAATGTTGTATTATTCCTCAAGGGTTAATACTACTAATAATAATTCGAGATTCTTATATACCACTTATCACAACCTATTTCGTGGGTCGTCTCAAAGCAGTTCACAAATTATTATCCGTGGTTATAGGGCCTTTGCAACCAGCCAATATCTTTATCAACTCCCTGGGGAGCATACAACCGGAGCTAATAACATAGACGTGTGCCTAGCTTAAAGGCCTGATCTGGGACTGGCAAATAGCATGGATACAGTGTAATATCATATCAAATCATTATCAGGTGCAAATAGGCAGGAAATACAGTTAAGCATCACCTGGCCCCGATAGGTCATATACTAAGCCTTATCTGTGGCAAAAGACAATTAATTCTATGGCCAGCAACGTTGCACTGACAGCCAGCAAATTAATGGTATACCTCTAAACTACGGGTCCAGTACGGGACAACAGGAAACTCTATAATTGAACATAAACATTGTCTCAATTACACTTGGTCATTTATTTTATCTCAACAGTGGAACATAGAATAAAAATATAAAAAGAAAAATATAAAGAAAAATGTGGAATGCACCTTGTTACACAACAGGACGCTCATTAAACACCAGAATTATCAAAAAAAGTCTCTGGCAGACATTTTGTCCATTCCAAACACATCCAAATCCAAATTGAGAACTACTTGGACTGATTTTGTAATTGAACCTATGAAAACAAAATAAACATTCTACTTTTATAGGAAACATTACTCCCGGTTTCTACCGGTAATTTTATTTTTTATTTTCTAGATTGTAGAAATTCAGCTTTACGTTTGTTTTGGTTCCACTATCTTTGTTTTAGTGGGTAGCAATCTACTGTTAACATTGAAGACCTTTGACAGTATTAGTTCATTGAACTCATGAAATACAAATAAGTGTTCCAAAATCTGGTACGGCCTTAAATGATGATATATAGCTGTCAATATGACGTAAAACACAACCAAACCAAACTAAATGTTTTATTCCTAAAGGAAACGTGGCTCCCGGTTTTTACATGTTAACATGTAATTCTATTGCGGACAGTATTCGTTTATTGAACCTCGGTAATAAAACAAAAAGTATACCTGAAGAAAACAGCTCCTGGTTTCTGCAGGTTAAAAAATCAATTTCATTTCCAGGATTGTGAGAGGTACGGATCTAAAAGTTTCAGTGGATATCTGGTGTTAGCATCAAAGACCTTGGACAGTATTCGTTCATTAAACTCTCTCACTGGTCAGCAATTCAAGCAGTTGACATTCACTGGTCAGCAATTCAAGAAGCTGACATTCACTGGTCAGCAATTCAAGAAGCTGACTCTGTAATAAAAATAAATGTTCTAATCCTAAACGAAACATATCTCCTGGCTTCCACAGGTTAAAATGTAGTTTTATTTCCTGGATTTTGCGAGATACGGTTCTAAAAGTTCCACTGAGCAAGTATCTGGTGTTTATATCAAAGACTTTGAATGTTCTACTCCTAAATGAAACATTTCTCCTGTTTTCTGCAGGTCAACATGTTATTTTATTTCCTGGATTGTGAAAGGTACGGTTTTAAATGTTTCAGCTGGTTATTGAGTATCACGTGATAACATCAAAGACCGTTATTAGTATTAGTTCCTCGAACCTATGCAATAAAAAAAAATGTAGAACTCGTCAGGGAAATATGTTTCCTGGTTTCTACAGGTAAACATTGTAATTTTATTTCCTGGATTTTGAAAGGTACGGATCTAGAGTTGCCAGCGAGTAAGTAACAGGAGTTAACGTTGAAGCAATTAGGTAGTAAGGGTTCGGTGTGGATTGCGTTATTCCACTTCACTTTCCCCAGACTTGAGACTGCCGTTACACTTAACATTCCAAAACTTCATTCTGGACTGCTCAGCCTCTACTAAAAGTTTTATCATGTAATTTAAATTTGCCAACAGTGTTGTTTTTGCATAAAATGACAGTACACATATGCTTATTGTCATTTTCAAGGTTAAAACAAGATATAAATACAACACATACGGAACAATAGTAACCCTTAATCATCCCCCGATATAAGTGCAATGTTCTTTGTCAGTTAGGGTATTTCTTGGTACTGATAAAAATCCAACTTCCGGAATGGGGAGACTGCCGGAAAAAAAAGAATCAGTCATATTTCATTGTGTACAATTTATACACTTCAACCACTTTTTTTGCCTCTTATATTCCAGAGTTCTCGCATGTGCTGCATTCTATCCCTGTTGCGACCTTGCCGAAGAGATGTAATCTATGGTCACGTGATAAGGAAGGAGGTATACATTTGGACTCCCTATCTTATATAGTCAGTGACCCCTTTGGGAACTGGAATTAGTTTGATAGATGTTAAAGAGACTGTGTAATTTATCTCCCTACTAGCTGCTATAGATTTGGATCTTTGTGATTCGTGCTTTGAGTTCTTGGGCTAACAAACCCGAGGAATGTTTACAAAGTAAACAAATAAATGCAGGTATATTTTGCTTGGTGCAGTTTACAACATGGAGGATATGTGAGGATTCAAGCTGCTGAATGACGTAGATTATTATCTTTCGTCGATACACACAAGTATACATAACAGTGGTTAAGTCTAAAGAAGGCTATCAGGAGGAGATAACTTTATGTGTTAATTGAAAAAAGCTGCGTGGATATTACGTCATTAAAATATCTCCGTTATATGACATATCCGTTTTTATTAGTAGCAAATTCAAATAGCAGTATAAAACGTGTTCAGACTAAGTCATTGCTTTGACGTCAGATTACTGATTTCTGGACCTATACTGCATCGTACTTTTCCTTCTATGGTTTAAAGTTGCTAAGTGTGAAAGTATAGTCCTAATATTACACAATCAAGTTATTTACTTCCTGGATTATCGTTTTATAACGTCATCAATACGTCATCATGAGGAGAAGCACATTTAACGTCATCGGGATATCATGTACGTCACTGAACGTGCTGCTGACAATCTTAGCGTTCGCCCCGCCCTATTGGCTGGTCAGTGCGTATGGCCGGATGACCCGGCTAGGACTATGGGCTCGCTGTAACGATGTGTTTAACCATGGAGAATGTGTATGGTCAATGGGCGGTCGAGCGCCTTACCAAGATTCCCTACCACGTAAGTTCTTTTCCTTATTTCTTCGTTGTATTATACTTTTACAAATGGTATTGTCAAGACATTTCTGACTGCTTTTTAAACAATGGACTACCGTACATTTATTTTCCATTTGGAACTGAATATAAGCATGCGAACAAGTTATGGGACGCATATCAGTCTGTAACGTTAAAAACCAAATGATAGGATTAACATGTTTAGAGTAAATGAACAATATGTTATAACAAAACTCGATAACTAAGGTGATGACTTATTTTTACGATTATTAACTTTCCTTTTCTTGGTAGTAACACACGAGTCTTTCTTGCTGGTGACGTTTACGTGTCATCATCAAATCACTACTATCCAGAAAGTGTTTTAAATTTTCCATAGATTAATTAAGTCTATCATATGCAGGCATGTGGGATAAGGGAATTCTGCCCGATGATAGAATTCTGTTTATCCCACATGTACCTATACATAATTATTGACTCTTAAACCAACCTCGTACCTGGAAATTCAGTAAAAATCAACAATGACAATGCATATGAAACAATAAATACAATAGATTTTCTAGATACCCTAAATTTAGCAAGAACAAATTGGAAAAGAGCTGGAAAAAATATTGAGCGACGAAGGTATATTTCATAATTAAGAAGTTTTTGAAAAGCTACACAACATTTTTGTTCAAAAATTGTTTATTTTCGTGAGGCGATGTCAGATGCTGACTGCGTTTTTGCGATGGATGTTCAAAATGACCAATAAGTCAATTTAGTGACGTCATGTATCATATATCGTAATGACGTCACATTTACAACGTCAGTCGATATGGTACTGGATATTATGGCATTATTTGCACGCCCTTGTCCTAAAAACCCAACAATAAACGCTCTCGAAACGGGCTCACTGAGTGCACCAATGCAGAACATAGTTGTTCTACATGAGACACGCGGTTTTTGCATAACAGACATGGGATAAATATGCATCCTTTTGACAAATTTGATACGCTGATATATCTTCTACCAGAGAAAATATCGTACGGTCGTCATCAAGAACAGTTACCTATGGAATTTCTGTTCAGACAATAATATAAAACCGGATTGTGATACGCTATCCTGATATCGGCAGGTGGCATCAGGAGAGATGCTTTATATTGTACTTCTGTGGGTTGATCGAGTTCAGTGTCTATACGGTTTTGATTTGGTGTCTCTTCGGTGGCCGTTGTCGTTTCCCGCCACTCTATCGGAAACAAATGACTTTCATTTCAGATAGATTGCTTTTAGGATCCTCGTACCATTGCCAAAAAGCTGTAACGACGCGTTGGAAACGGTGTTTGGAGGCACTGTAGTGTAGCGGTAGGACGCTGGGCTCGTGACCGAAGGGTTGCGGGTTCGATTCACGGCACAGCACTGTGTTGTATCTTTGAGCAAGATACTTTACTCCACTTGTTCCAGTCTACTCAGCTGTAAATGAGTACGTGGTTGGGCAGTGCTAGAATTGTAGAATGCTAGCTTTGAGCGCCAAAATGGCAGCACCGGCTGTATGCTCCCAAGGGAGCTGAGAAAGATGTTGGCTGGTTGCAAAGGCCCTATAACCACGCATAATAATTTGTGAACAGCTTTGAGACGACCTACAAACTAGGTTGTGATCAAGCGGTATATAAGAACCTCATATTATTATTATTATTATTATTATTATTATTATTATTATTATTATGTCTATAGCTGTGATAAATCTATTTCTGAGAAGAAATCCATCTCTTACGGGTCTTTTATGAAAAATTACAAAGGTGAAATAAACAAAACATAAAAAAAAGAAAAGCGGCGCTAAACCGGCAATTGAACCCATGACCTCAAACTATTATACTGTCTCCTTAATCGACTGCGCTATTTAGTCAACGGAAGTTTCCTAGACAAACTTAGCTGTCGTTATGACTGGGGCTAGATCGACGGGATTTCATGTATCCTACCTGTGACGTCATTCATTTTTGTGACGTCACAAGTAGGATACATGAAATACCGTCGATCTAGCGCCAGTCTAAAGTTATATCCAAAACGATATTAAGGAAGGTTACTGCATATGTATATAAAAAAAAAACGCTGCTGTGCAGTGGAATAGAGACCCTAAGTACAACAAAGTAACGGTTTACAACTTGGACAACATCATAAACATCAGTCGCGAACCGTCGGCACTTTCCGTAAACGAGTAATGTTTCGTTTACGGAAAGTGCCGATGGTTCCCGATTCCATAAACATCTGTATCATATTCTTTCAGAGAACAAAACAATCCCATCAAGCATGACTCATGCACCATAACATAAAACTAGTCGTATTACATGGTTGTATAATAAATCATTTGACTTCAGTTAAATATGAATCAATACGGATCCAAATGATCATACATTTTCTATAAATTGGTTATAATGCAACAGACTTCATGTTATCTGTGATATGGGGCTTGCATCGTGATTTCATTATACATATCTTGTTTCATGATCAATAAACAATTATACAATCGGGTTTCACTCTGTGCTTGCAGCCTGTTGGACATTGAAAAGACCAATGAGGATATTCTCTACTCGGTTTTTTTTCGTTTTTTTTCAATCCTCTTCGGTCATCTTTTCCGCATGTTCATATAGCGTTTCCTCGAAACTTCTGGATTGCATATTTTACGTCTTATTAACAGCTTTGATCACTTAAGGACGTGTCAGGTTTTGGGGGGTGGAGGAAAACCGAAGTACCCGGAGAAAAACAACCGACCAGCAGCCAGTACCTGGCGAATGCCCCACGTAGGCCTCGGAGGGTAGTATATTCCTTACGCATTAGATGACTCGTTATATTGCAAACCCTCTTTCCATTATGTGACATTTCCTTGATTTGGGCGTCATTTTGATGGGATGGTTCCATCAATAATTCGAGGTTTTTATATACCGCTTTATCACAACCTAGTTCCAAGGTCGTCTCAAAGCGGTTCACAAATTATTATCCATAGTTATAGGGCCTTTACAACCAGCCTTTCTCAACTCCCTGGGGAGCATACAGCCAGTGCTGCCATTTCGGCGCTTGCAGGTAGCATTCAACAATTCTAACACTGCCCAATCACGTACTCATTTACAGCTGAGTAGACTGGAACAAGCGAAGTAACCTTCACAAGCGAATACTGCAGTACCCATGGACAAATTCTGTGGTGTAAAGACTTGAACCATATCACCTAGGACACCTCCAACCTCTAACATATGTCCATACTGACAGGCAAACCGCCAGCAATACCCCAAATATAGTCTGGGACCCCCTCTCTACAATCTTTTATTTATAAACTAAAATGAGACTTATCCAGTATTTCTCTATTTTTTAAATCAATACCTAATGGGTTTTAAACATCTGCTCTTCTCTTTCAATAATAGGTTAGACAATTCAGATTTCCAATTTTATTGGCCCTTAGCCTCACCGATGAGTACTAGAAAACCCAAAACAGCTGGCAATTTCAACCCACAAAACTTCCATACCGAAATAGCACCTCAGATTTCATCACAATATAAAAAGTAAAAAACAACAACAACACACACACATAAATTAAACAATAAAAAACGGACGCATTTAAAATGAAAGATCAAACAACTAGTATTTTTATTGCAGTTTAATCTATGAAGGAGATATCAAAATGATATTGCAGACCGATGTGATTCCGGCCACTGTGACGTCATTAACTTTTTCGACGTCATCAGTCTAATGTTTTTGATGTCTGGATGGAATCTGTCAAAATGTTTTATGCTTAATCTGCACGGTGAATGTTATTTGATAAAGTTCAGCTTTCTTAGGAACGAGTATTATGTTATTTAGGATAATTAAATTGCAATAATGCAGTGACTCACATTCCAGACCATCTGTGATTCACGTCATCGACACACAGGAGTCCAGGGCCACGGTGGACACACATAATGTTCGTATACCCTACAAGCATTGCATAGTCTTTGTCGCTAATCACAATCAATTAAATTCAATTCAAGTTTATTTCGGGGGCCTTACGACCCATAGGCATACATAAATATAATACATAATATTATATACATATTTGGAGAGTGATCTCTCATGACATGCATACAGAACACAGAAAGTAACATAACAACATACTGACAGAGACGGGAGGTAACTCCGCGGCAATGTTATCTTGTGACAATCAGTGGTGACGACTTCCTCAAAAGATGTGTGTGATGTTATTAACCAATCAACTAAGCAATAATGCTAAAATATGAATATATGCATGGTATTGTATTTTGGTGGAGACATTGGTAACGTGGATAGAATTAGCTACAAAGCCGTATTCTTTGTTAATGGGTATTCGTTTTGGTGGCATATAAGACAACACAACACTTTGCTCATGATTTTTCATGTAAGACAGATTTGGAATCCCATCACCACCACACCCCACTCCCTTCCCTCGCTTATGTTTTACAACAGAACACGACACCGGTATGAGCCCAAGTTTCTGATTATATTGCTTGTTTATCTTTTATTTGTTAATGAACCTTAAAGTCGAGATTATCAGTCAAATTTCCATGGGAGGTAACATGACGTCATCCTGTGGTTGTCCTATATCTTGGTTACACACTACTGCTACACGACTACCATTCTTTATCAATGATATTATGTGCATTTTCGTATCATGTATAAAGTTATTTAAGGATTAACTTGAACATAATTTTGATGTTATGGAGATATAACACAAAAAACGGAGTGTACTCCAAATAAACCGCGAAGCGGTTTATGATGAGAGTACACTCCGGTTTTATGTGTTATAGCTCCATAACGTAAAAAGTATATTCAAGTTAATCCTTATATTTTAATCTACAATACACAATCCCTGTGGAAATCCACTTTTATTGATGGACTCTTTTCTCTTAGAAATTGTTACATAGCTGTATCAGCCAATCAAAAGCGACGTTACAAACGGCGACGTCATTTTTGACGTTATGGGCTGATAACATAATTTTTTAAGCCAATTATAATGCTTGTTACCAGCAAGAT